TTTGTTTGATGATCTGAAACATTTAAGTGTGACAAACATGCAAAAAAGTAAGAAATCAGGAAGGGGGCAAACACTTTTTCACACAACTGTACATGCTGCAACACCTCGACTCCCCAGGGAACCCTTGCAGTATTGCAAGGGTTCTGTTTTTGGACTTCAGCTCAGCGTTTAACACCATCATCCCAGCAATACTCCAAACCAAACTCTCCCAGCTCACTGTGCCAGTCTCCACCTCTCAGTGGATCACAAAGACGCAGCAGGTGAGGCTGGGAAAAATCACATCCAGTACTCGGACTATCAGTACTGGCGCCCCCCAGGGATGTGTGCTCTCCCCACTGCTCTTCTCCCTCTACACCAATGACTGCACCTCAGAGGACCCAACGGTCAAACTCCTAAAGTTTGCAGATGACACAACGGTCATCAGCCTCATCAGGGAAGGTGATGAGTCTGTGTACAGGCGGTACAGAACAACCTGGAGCCAGGCTCAAAACTGTGGAGATGACAGTGGACTTCAGGAGGAGCCCCCCAACACTGCCCCCCCTCACCATACTCAACAGCACGGTGTCTGCTGTGGAGACCTTCAAGTTTCTGGGATCCACAATCTCCCAGGACCTGAAGTGGGCTCCCAACATCAACACCATCCGGAAAAAGGCCCAGGTTGTACTTCCTGCACCAGCTCAAGAAGTTCAATCTGCCTCAGGAGCTGCTGATTCTGTTCTACTCAGCCATCATCCAGTCTGTTCTCTGCTCCTCTATCACTGTGTGGTTTGGATCAGCCACCAAACAGGACAGGAACAGACTGCAACGGATTGTCAGGTCTGCAGAGAGGATCATTGGTTCCAGCCTGCCGTCCATCCTGGACTTGTTCACCTCCAGAGTCAGGAAACGGGCTGGAAAGATCTCTGCAGACCCCTCACACCATGTACACAAGCTGTTCCAACTCCTCCCCTCTGGTAGGCGCTACAGGGCTCTGTACGCCAAAACCACCAGACACAGGAACAGCTTCTTTCCACTGGCCATCACTCTGATGAACAATAAATAAGTTATACTGCACTACTACCACCACTTACAATTCATGCCATTGTCTATAGGTTTATGTTCACATGTATACTGTTGTTGGGATCTGACGACGCCTCCTGGCTGGCTGAGTCCCTCACATGTGTTTTCAACAAAGGAGCATCCATGTTTCCTTCCTGTCAACAAAGGCCTGATCTGGGATCTGCTAAAAACTCCAAGCTGGGTGACCACACCTCTCAGCTCCAGCTGAAACTCGATCCTGGCCCCTCATTGGCCAAGAAAGGCTCCCCCGCTGGGTGACCTGGTTTATAAGCAAGCAGGAAACGCCATTCTGCCTCTTCCCTCCGGACATCGTCCTGGTACTAGAAGATCCACAAGGAAGCGCTTGCCTCATCAAATCCTATCAGGTCACATGTTACATTCGCTGGTCGAACAGACTGTGTTTATATTTTGAGTTTTGGATCCTGTAGTGCGAGAACGGATAACTCCTATGCCCCGTTCCCCCACCCTTTTTGTGTACACACCGCCGGCAAAAGAGGGCAACTGAGCCCTAAACGAGCCGAAGATTTCCCGGAGGACGAATGAACCAAGCGTCCCTCAGCCTAAGTTACAGGCCCCTCTCTGCAGCGAGGAGGCCCGCGTCTGCGCCAGCTCCGAAGCCGCGCCACCGAGAGTCAACGACTACTCGAGGACAGAGTGATTCCTACCACTGGAAACAGACCCTACCGAACGAAGCTTCTCAAAGTAAGGGTATCATTGGTGTCTGGGGCTAGCTTAGCTTAGCCTTAGTTTAATTTAGACTTTGTTTAAGTCGTTATTCCTGTATCTTGTTGTGTTAAGTTACTGTCGTGTTATAACGTGTTATTGCGCAAGCATCGCGGACCATGGAGTCCCGTTATACTGTGTATTTCCTGCTGTAACTGTTTGCATTAGATCCGTCGCTGCTAGTGGATGTGGAGTTTGTGATTTTATCACTTTAAAGACTAAAACCACGGTGGCGGACCCTCGTCTCGCCGACCGAGTTTCGGGGTGATAAGGAAGCAATACTCGCATCTCACCGCAGTGATAAAGATCTGTTTTGTTTTGGGGATTCTTTTATTTTGTCTTGGTTTTATTCTCTCTTCTTTAAATCGGCTCTGTGAGTGAGATTTAGAATCGCAACTATCACCGTATAAGCGTGGCCAGTCGGTTCAGAATCCGACCCCAGAGTTTTACGGGGAGATCAGCTGTTCTCACATTCTCACTGCGGCGTTGAGCACCGCAGGCAGAGCTAGGTTTTCCTTCTCTCTCTCCCCCTCTCTCGCTCCCTCTCTCTCTTCCTACTAACCGCATACACAGTTAGATTCACTGATTTTGGGTGAACCTCTCAGACTCGTGGTTGCGTAATCTGTTGTCCCAACCCACATGGTGCGCCGTCCCACGTGGTTACACATAGCCACCTCTCAGCCATTTTGGCCGTAGGTCTCTAGACTCCGCCATCTTTGCTTGTAGGCTCACACGCCCCCTTTTTAGATTACCCCCCCCATCACTGTTCGAGTAGGTTTCACCCACCCTCCTCCTTTCTACACACACATGCACACACACTCACACACACACACACACACACGTACATATATCTATATACATATTCTTACCCCACTTTATTCATTTGACTTTAGGTATTAGACATATAATTGTATGATAGTGTTTGTTGGTTTTGATACTACTTGATTTGATCATTTATTATTTTGATTTAATAAACTGTTATATTTTAAAGAGCAGTCGTCTGTGATTACTTGTGCATATGTGTGTAATAATAACTGGATGTAGTGGCCTGTGCTCGAACTTAAACCTTCACTCTCACTCCAAATGTGTAATAGTATTCAGACTGTCAATATTGTGAGTGAACACTAATTATGAGACTTAGTTTATAGTTTGGTTATTGGTCCCTGTCCGCAGGATGGTGCCCTGTTCTTATTAGTAATTACTAATTAACTTATTGATGTTAATAACTCCATTGATGTTGATAGTTTAGTTTCATATTTGCTGATAACCAAACACGCTCCTTTACGTTCCCTACACTGTATATATACACTTTTTGTCTCGGATATATATTTATACTTATATTGTTAAATGTTTATACCTACATCCGTTCTACTTTTTTGCTGCCCTTTTCTATTCTTTATACATATATTTTCTTGTTTATTGTAAATTTGTGTTTGTACATTGAGAGCGGAGTGGATACCGGAGACAAATTCCATGTATGAGTAAGCATACATGACCAATAAAGCTGATTCTGATTATATATGTATTAACACTGGATAATACCCTGTTTGATGAAAATGTATTTTAAAAAACATTCTGTAAAGTATCAGATGTTAACAATACTTTTTTGATCCATTTCAGATTTCCTCCCTGGCAACCATCGGAAGACATGACACAAAACGGGTTACCAGGAACATCCTTGCCCGCATGTTCAATGATGATGTTGGGAAGAGAATTAACTGGAAAGGGATAAATGGGAAAAAGTCCTTCAGCCAGATGGAGTGGAAGACTTTGCTCCTGCGTAAGTAACTGTAATATTTAATGAAAACAATTTGAAGTCACCCAGAGGTCTTAGGTCGTGTTCAAACTTACAACTTCTCTTTGCAACTTCAACTTCATTCTCTGCTCAGGTAGATATTACTCGACTATATCTTTACATAATAGTTATATGATATATTAGCTCTGAATATAGCATAGCAAACCTTTAAATGTCAGACAGCCACTAGCTTTCAAACTGCATGTCGGCTATATGTTGCACTGAGGGTTCATGGGATTTTGTATGATCTGCTTGTGTGATTACAGATGCCGTCAGAAAGAATCATGTCTCAGGTCCCGCCACAGATGATGAGATTCTGAAACACGCAATTAGGTTGTTCAACCTGGCAGCAGACAGACGAAGTTCCAGGAGGCGTGCCACAGTCAGCATCCCTACTGAACAGGCCAACATGTGTTATACATGCGATACATGCGATGTTCTAAAATCCTTGTGAATGGATTTCATTTAATAAAAAAACGTTTTGATACTATTCATGGTTAACGTTCTTTTTTTCCATTAATACCTATTCAATATATAGGCTGTAATGACCTCTTTTTTTAAGATTATTTTTTGGCTTTTTGGCTTTTATTAGATAGTTGGGATTAGAACCCAGGGAGCTGCTGAAAGGATTGTTTTTTTAATAGAGGATTTTGTTGTTACTTGCAGAGTCCATTGTTAAATGCACAAGGGATTTTACACAAACTATGCATATGTTCTCCAATGTAGATTTTAAGTCTTGAATAAATTCAACATTTTATTATTAGAGTATTCACACTTTTATAGAGCAATCTAGATGTTGGTCATTTTGATTTGAGATATTTCTGTAGTTAGTTTTGAGTAAGGGATCCGCTTTATGAACGGGTCCAAATCGGACCCCGGCCAAATGAGTCGTTTTATGAATGGGTCCATATCGGATATGAACGGATACGGGCCAGATCTGGTCTGGATCTTTGACGCGTATCCATTCCAGATCTGTCCCGCTGTGCAAGTCGACTCCGATCCGGACCCATTTTGCAGATCTATTCCGGAGCCTATGATACCTCCAGGGCGGATCCAAAGCGGAGTCGGTTTGCTATCTGGGCCAGCTCTCAGCAAGTGACTCTGCTTCTGTGTGGAGAGGTCTCAGACAGATAACAAACTACATTCCTAAAGCCCCCCACTCCATGAACGACCTATGCCTGGCAGACAAGCTAAACGAGTTCTACTGTCACTTTGAAAGACAATGGGACAGTCCTGACCCCATCCCTCCATCAACCAAACCCAGACCACCAAGTCCCCCTCCCCCAGCTCAGCAGGGGCCCATGCCTCTGTAGCACCCATCCCAGTGCCCCCCCCCCGCTTCCTTGTATGTGCAACATACCTTGACAAATAAACAGTTCTGATTCTGATCAACATGATCAACAGATGGTGACATACTGCGCCTGTTTAACCTCTCTGCACTGGATCCCAGTTAATTTTAGAATTCATTTTAAAATGTTGATTTATAGAGCCTTACATGGCCAGGCTCAAGACACATTTTAAAATTCAGGGAGATCGTGCTTTTCAGTCGGCAGCCCTTACACAACTGTCTCCCTATACGCTTGAGGCTCTTTGGACTCTTAAAAAGCAGCTAAAAACCAAACTGTTCAGACAGGCATTTATGTAGCATGTGGTATTTTCTGTTTGAACTTGTGTCTTATGTCTGTCCTCCTTGTATATTTTATCTGGTGTTTTTATATTCGTTTCATTTATTTGATTGTATTTTCTATTATTATTTGACTGTGAAGCACTTTGTGACTGGTGTCTGTAAAAAGCACGATATAGATAAATGTTTTTTTTATCCACATCAACTCAGTTCTCTCTGGCGAGTTCTTTCTCAAAATAAAACCTGAGTTTGCAAGATTTTACAAGGCTAGGTTTTTCTTCTTCCTTTAAGTGGACATTGAATATTTACCTTGTTTGTTATCTGTACATCCTGGCAAGGTCAAACCTTCCCGAATGCATCTAATGTCAGTGTCATTAGATGCAACAGCTCAATGGACAGCCACTAAAGTACTCATAATAATTCTTTGTCGGATGCAGAATCTATTTAGACTTTTCCAATGATATCCTTCCTGTGTCTCACTTACTATGCCTCTCACTCAATCTTCCATATTCACTGCTAAGAAAATACATTCTTGTGGGTTTATTCAGTATAGTCTACTTTATGCATATTACATCTAATCATCTTTATCTATGAACACTCATATATAACAGCCAGGCTTGCTTAGTAAACAAGTAGAATCTATACACAGACATCCACATGATAAATCACTATAATCACCCTGCATTTTCAATAAGACAAAAATAAAATCCAATTCCATCCTTCATAACGCAGAGATTTGTCTTGTGTCTGCGTGACTCCAGGCAGTGAGTTTATAAGAGTGCATTTGCTTCTCTCTTATAGCCTGCCTCACTCTTATTCAATCAAAGGACCATTTTTATTGCTGGCGCACAGGCACCTGATTGCAATAACCCAGATGATCGATGGGGGTGGGCTACTACTGTAGCAGGTGTGCTATATGCGCTAAAATAATCTGTATTTATAAAAAGACCAGACAGGTCTACACATCAAGAGCTGCTTTGGTTAAAATGACTTGATGAAATATGTAGATTTTTTCAGTGAGTTAAGGATCAGTGGGAAACAACAGCTCCTCTATTATTGCCTTGATTTACAGCTCCCTGGTGTGCTTTCCTGCTGTAATGCCACTCAACAAAAGCGTCTGCAAGAATATTTCACAGCTGCTGATATTCTGATAGTGCCAAAATATAACTTACTTGCCAGTGTGAATCTAACTGAACTCAAACGTAAATGTATTACTCTTTGACCTTGTTTGTATTGCCAGATGAAAGCCATTTCATCTGAAATAACCTGTAGATGAAAAATGGGGGGGGTTGGAAAATGGAAAAATAAAGATCTTTTAAAAAGACATTGTTCTCTTCAGGCACTCAGTGGAGTTTGCTTTTTTAGAGAGAGGGCGGTAGGTGGCTTGGAAAAAAATCAGCTGGACAGAAGAACCTTTGCCTTTGGTACTAACTGAAGGATGAGTTAGTGTACTTTAGTGCTGAATCAGCGAGCAGTAACATAGCGTGAGCAGTTTGAGGACAAATTCACATATCTATTGTGTGTGTAGAGGGACTTATAGTGGTCTGGGCAGAGAATTTCAGGATTTTAGGTTTGGAACATCAGGATTTGGTTAACAAATTAGTTCACATGATGTGTGTACAACCAAGTGCTTATACATGTTGCAAATGGCCACACTCAACAAAAAGTCTACAGTCATAGGGAGCTTGAGCCTTACTGCCGCCGGGTTGATGATCCTCTCAATCTCGAACGGCCCGATGAACCTTGGGCCCAGCTTTTTAGACTCCACCCGCAAAGGTAGGTCCCTGGTTGACAACTACACCCTCTGACCCACCTGGTAGATAGGGGCTGGAGTGTCGGTTAGCCGCTGTAGCAGCGCGGTAGCGCGGTCCCTAGCCCAGGTCTGGCGGCAGCGGCGGATGAATGTCTGGACAGATGGGCAGGAAACCTCCCTTTCCACTGCAGGGAACAGAGGTGGCTGGAACCCATAAGCACACTGAAAGGGTGACAAGCCTGTGGCGGAGCTGGTCAGGGTGTTATGGGCGTACTCCACCCACATCAACTGGCGGGACAAGGAGGCAGGATTCCAGGAGACCATGCAGCGAAGGGCTGTTTCCATCTCCTGATTCTTCCTCTCCGTCTGACCGTTGGACTGAGGGTGAAACCCCGAAGACAGACTGACAGTGGCCCCCAGCAAAGTGCAGAATTCCCTCCAAAAGATGGAGGTGAACTGAGGACCTCGGTCGGAGACGTCGACTGGAATTCCATGCATGCGGAAGATATGCAGGCAGATGAGTTCAGTCGTCTCCTTAGCAGATGGGAGTTTGGGGAGAGGAATAAAATGGGCCAGCTTGCTGAATCTGTCGACCACTGTCAGAATGACGGTGTGGCCCTCAGATGATGGTAGTCTGGTGACAAAGTCCAGGGAGATGTGAGACCACGGACGGACGATGGGGCACTGGGAGAGGCCGCAGGAGGCCGGCCGGAGCCTGGTGGCAAGGTTTATGTTGGTTGCACACTGGGCAGGCGTTGACGAATTCACTGGTGTCCTCGTTGAGCGAGACCCACCAGAAGCGCTGCCGCAGGACATCCTGGGTCCTCTGGATGCCTGGGTGGCAGGTAAGTGGAGAGGAGTGCGCCCACTGGACGTCGGACCGAAGGGCCTGAAAGACAAAACAGGCGGTTAGGAGGGCACGCGCTGGGACCGGCTTGACCCCTAGTCGCGGCCCTCACCGATTCCTCAATCAGCCAGGTGAGAACTCCTACTTGACAGGAGGCAGGGAGGACGGATGAGGAGCCAGAGGTGGATTCCTCCTCACCCTGGAACTGACGGGAAAGGGCATCAGGCTTGACATTGCGGGAACCGGGGCGATAGGAGAGCGTGAAGTGGAACCTGGCGAAGAATAACGACCACCTGGCCTGTCGGGAATTGAGTCTCTTGGCTGTGCGGATGTACTCAAGGTCCTTATGGTCGGTCCAAACCAGGAATGTAAGATGGCGCCGCAGACGGCTGCCTCGACGAGTTTTATGCTGCGATACCCGGAGCTCTTTCACCAGAGATGAGCTCATGAACATCAGGGGTACAACTCCAGCGGACTTAGTTCCAACTTTTCTGCTAACTTCTGTGGAATTACTGGACATTCTTGTCAAAGGTGCGCTCACCTTAGCCCATGCAGTGGAGACGACGGAGGAGAGGGAAACGGGCCGGTGTGCTTGTGCGTCTTCGCACGCGTGGATTTCGCACACCGCTGCCGGCCTTATTTCTCTCAAACGTCCGCTCACTGTGCAACAAACTGGACGAACTTCAGCTACTGGTGGGGAAAGACAGAGACTTTTCTTCATCTTCCGTTTTGTGCTTCACTGAGACCTGGCTCTGCGCTCCAGCTGGCTGGCTTCCAGCTGTTCAGAGCGGATCGCGATACGGAGCTCTCCGGCAAATCGAAAGGTGGAGGAATCTGTTTTCATACCAACAGTGGCTGGTGCAACGATGTGTCAGTGATTCTTCAGCACTGTTCTCCTGATCTGGAGTCTTTCCTCATAAACTGCAAACCCTTTTACTGCCCCCGTGAGTTCGCTTCATTCATACTGGCTGGTGTTTACATTCCGCCGCATGGCAACGTGCAGACCGACCAGACACTGTGTGTGGAGCGGACCTACCCGGACTCTTTAGTTATTGTCCTTGGTGACTTTAACAAAGGAAACCTCAGCCATGAACTCCCTAAATACAGACAGTTTATTAAATGTCCAACCAGAGAGGAGAACATTCTGGACCACTGTTACACCACAATCAGCAGGGCCTATCACGCCGTCCCTCGTGCTGCACTGGGTCGCTCTGACCACGTCATGGTCCATCTGATTCCTGCATACAGGCAGAAACTCAAGCTCTGTAAACCAGTAGTGAGGACATTCAAGAAGTGGACCAGTGAAGCTCTAGAGGATCTTCGGGCGTGCTTGGACTGTACATACTGGGATGTATTCAGGACTGCTACCAACAGTCTGGATGAGTACACAGAGGCTGTAACGTCATACATCAGCTTCTGTGAGGACAGCTGTGTTCCATCAAGCACCAGGGTGAGTTACAACAACGACAAACCCTGGTTTACAGCAGAACTCAGAAAGCTAAGGCTGCAAAAAGATCAGGCATTTAGGAGTGGGGATAATGACTTGTACAAAGAGTCAAAATACAGGTTTAGCAAGACGGTGAGAAAAAGTATTTGAAATCGGATCAGGCACCGAAAGGAAGCACCGAAATCTGCGTTGCGTTTCGGTCCGGTAGATACTGGTCCTTTAGGAACTGGTGCCATATTGGCACCGCTTTTCGGTACCCAACCCTAGTGCAGATGGGTGCAACCTTAGCAGGGTCCATCTGGATGCTGCCCTGGGAGACGATATAACCCAGGAATGAGACCGTGGAAACATGAAACTCGCACTTTTCCGCCTTCACAAACAGGGAGTTCTCCAGAAGGCGTTGAAGCATGGACTGGACGTGGTGCACATGTTCCTCTTGGTTCCTGGAGAAGATCAGGATGTCATCGAGGTAGACGAATATGTGCTGGTCCAACATGTCTCGAAGCACATCGTTAACCAGGGCCTGGAAGATGGCAGGGGCGCTGGTTAAGCCAAAGGGCATCACAAGGTACTCGTAATGTCCTTTAGGAGTATTAAATGCCGTCTTCCACTCATCCCCTTCTCTGATCCAGACCAGGTGACAGGCGT